GTCCGGACCTGGCACTAAGTGATTACCATCTTTTCCTGTCCATGGCGAACGCGCTTAATGGTGAGAAGTTGGCCTCAAGAGAGGCCTGTAAAAATTGGCTCTCCGAGCTTTTTGGCAATAGCGTCCCTAGTCCCCAGTCTTCTACGAGAGGGGTATAAAGTTTACGAACAAAACGGCGTCCGACTTAAATCGGACAAATGTACACAAAGTTATCATCTTTTGAAAAATCAATAAAAAACCGAACGAACCTTTTACTTTAGCAATATATAAAGAAATCTCAAACGAGTATACCATTTGACTATGCGAGAGTATAAAATGTTTGGTTACATCCGAACTTAGATCTTCCTTACTTGTTTTTGCTTTTATTTTTGAAGTAATTCAGTTTGTTTGCTTTTTTGGTTAGTTTTGTTGTTTTTATTATCATAAAAATCATCAAGTTACAAACTAAATAAATTATTGCTTAAAAAACACTGGTTTTTGGTCTTTTATTAGTTTATATTAAGGAATATTTAAAAAAAAAATTAAAAAAATGGATATGTCGAATACTTTCTTTGGCGTGTGTATTTATGTATACAAGTATGTTAATCAGTCGCGCTTTACCGCGAAACAGTTCACTAAGAACAAAAAAAAATTAGATCCAAATAAAGAGGGCAAAGAATGTAAGCGCCATTGTTATGTCGCCGCGTGTGCATAACAAAATACTAAGAACTGATACTGGGCAGCTCATATGTGCTGACTAAAATTTCTTTTCGCCTCTACAAACGATACAGATAATGCTGGTAAGAGTGATGATGATTATTACAGTGGAATAACCGCACAACATTTGCAAAGAAATAAATTGCACCAAATACTCTATTAAAAAAATTGCAACTGGAATAATATGGCAAATTGAATACTTTTGTATAAGCTTGTTCAGAGAATTAGGTCCCATAACTCCGTATTCATAGACCACATATTTTACGACATCTCTAATATATTCTAACCAAAAATTGTGCTGTTATGAACGTCATCAAGAGTAAAATGGACATACCAAAAGCGATATAGTAATCAGCTCACCTAATGATACAACTACCTAATTTTTTGGCACTGATCCAGCCGCTGTGCAGTAATGGCGTATTGTTCATTAGAGAGCGTTTCTATTGAGAGAAACTTTGATTCCATTAATTTTTTAATTACTAATCTTGTGCGAGTACAAAGCCGTAGTGGGTTCAAATTATGAAGCAAAATAACCGGAAATCCACCCCAGGCCCAACATATCCAATGAATTCAAAAAGTCAATTGGATCGCAGATTCTTTGGCGTCGATAGATTTGTATGACCCAAATTACCGGACTACAAATGTTGTATCATTGAATTAAGTTCACTTTCAGTTTTACTTTTTCAACATTACGCCACTTACGGATTGTCACTAACACTTACAGTGATGAGAAAATCTGCCTGCATTCAGCAGTTGACTGAAGGTGAGGGTGCGGACGGAGGTGCATATTTTACGTACTATTTATGTAATTAAACTAATTCTCACTCGATAAATATCATATAGTGCTTTTTTATATATGCCAGATTATCCAGCTATAATATAATTACCACCCAACCTGTAATAAATAATAATTTTGATAAATTCATTTGCCCGTGCACATAGTCAAACCGCTTCACCCAGTTAACACCAGCTGATTCGCTTTGTCACACTGTAAACGCACTTACACAATATAATTTTGTGAGAGTCGTTTGGTTGTGGTCGTGGCCATCCCTGAGCACATGCTAAGACTTTACCCATTCCTGGTCATAATTAAACACTAAATTAAGATACAAAACTGTAATTTGGTACAGGGGACCACAGTAGCAAGAGACACTTGTGGGCCGTAATTTTTTTTAAAAGTGAACGTGGTCCCACCTCGTAAATGGTATCACAAATATTTAAAAATAGTGGACGATACCTCTGGCTATGTTTCACATACAATGTTTGTTTATGCAGTACTGTGTTATGTATACATAACTGAACCTTAGAAACCCGAACAACAATCCCCGAAAAGTCATTCTCCCCGATATAGTAATTTACATACCTCAATTAATACTGATGCTTGAAATAAGCTCAATTTCTAACTTCGAAAGCAAATATTATAATTTTTGAGGCCAACTTCGAAAATGAAGAAATAACTTTTTATCTTATAGGTAACTCTCTCAAAAAAATTTGTTTGGTCCAATTCCCAGAACAAAAGTCGTTTCTGCAGTATAGTGAAATTACTTATTTTACTTTAATAGCATAAACACAATACGCGACGGCGGCGAATTTCGCCTACCATGACGATTTTTGAGATAGAGCTATTATATAATCTTATCGCCGACCGCGGCGACAAAAATGGCATCACCATATCAAAGAAAGATTATTTTTAGTAAAAATATTAAGGATTTTCAAAAAAAATTTAAGAGAATGTCTGGGTTGGCAATATTAAGATTGTTTATGTTTGGTTTCGTTATTTATTGTGATATTTTTGAGTGCTGAATATACACTAGCTGCGCCGAAAATCGTCCGTATTGTATTTTACACGGCGGTAGCACTCGGCGAAAATCCGTCCGATTCGCCGTCGCCCGTATTGTGTTTATGCTATAAAGAAATTTCTCTCATCAATCTGTTTAAGTGTGGCAGTTAATGGCATTTTCACACAGGCTCTTTTGTAACCCAAACCGATTTATTGTGGGCGAGGGGACGACGAGGAGAGACGAAGGGACCGTGCCACTCTTGTTCGGGTGGCACGCTTTGTGTTCTTGTTCGTAACAGCTCTCTGTTACCCTTTTCAGCATTCCTTTTCACTTTCAAATTCTTTGAACGGTTGCAAGAGCGTTCGGTTTCAAATGAACTCGTTCACAAATTTGAATTCTGTTATCTATTTTTTGTATGTAATATGCAAATATGTATGCATAGAATAATATAAATATTTTGAAAAACTGTAAATAAGGAGAAAATTAACATATTCAAAAATATTCAATCTACATTTTTAATAACATACCGCTATATGTAAATGTAATAATGTACCAGTTTACATAAAATAATTCTAATAAAAATGGAAACTTTACTTTTTTATATTAACATAAAATATAAAGATGCTTTAATATTTATTTCTTTTAACCGAAAAGGAGTTAGTTCGAATATTATTTTATTTAAAATGAGAATTGTAATTAATTCAAGGATGTTTTATAATAAATAGACAAAAATATGGAGTAAAGAAATTATGAATTTTTAATACTTAAAGATTAGGAAATTCCTGTTATAAATTTGGACTCGAAAATATGAGTAGCGGGTATTTAATACATTAGGTATTATGCATATTGTTCTACCATATTCATGGTAATTCATTGCAAGCAAAATGTGAGACCATCATCCCAACATACAAATGAAATATGCAACACGCTCTAAGTGTTACGCAGTCAAAACGCCCAAATATTTGCAAAAAATTTATGAAAAGGAATGACGGAAAAACTCGATTTGAGTTGCTGGACCCTTTTTGCTCGTGTGAATGCACAGAGCGACACCCAATGTAAAAGCACACTTACCGTCTTCACATATGTGTCTCGATATTGTTTACCTTCATATGTTGTTCTTTTTATATACATAGATCTAATTTGATAAATTGTTTTATTTGCACCATTTATATACTTTCACAACATGTTGCTACAGGGAATAATAATTTTGTATCACCTAAAACTAATCAAGTTGACATAACGTATTATAAAGTGCTATAATTAAGCAAGACCGTAAATATGTAAGATATCTTAGCCAAATTATAATAATTTCCGATATTCTAACAAACCTTATTATATTAATGGTTTAGCGCTAAACATGAATTGAGTAGGTCTAGAGCTTGGTCTTAATCTCATTTCCCTAATATCAACAATCTTCTGATTGACGTTTTGCTTATCAACTCACTATATTAAATTTAGCGTCTTCAGTTGAGATATATTTCATTTGAGGATAATGTTAATATACATTTTTAATAATTGAGTCTATGGCCTATAATATTACTTAATAAAATGCCAAATTTTATTGTTATTCATTCACGATTTTGTCGAATAATGAATGTTGCGAGAGTATGAAGTATTTGGTTACTCTCGAACTTGGCCCTTCCTTAATTGTTCTTATATTACAGTTTATAAACTTAATGGTTACGCTGGCAGATACAATCATATAAAGCCTAATTCCAGAGATGAAATGACTTAATCAGATTAATTTACTTAAAACAAATTTTCATCAATATGATGTACTTGTCCATTATTTGGCAAGTATCTATTGATGATCTAATTGCAGTTTTACACCGTTTCTTGCAGATAAATCTAATTACATACGTTCCCTTTGGCAAAAATTACACACATACAAACATATATGGGAACACCAGGCTGCATTTCATTTGTGTAAAATTTTTACACACTTAAAAAAGAGTTTCGTTTACTTCTTCATATTTCATTAATCTTTAATTAAAAATAAGAACCATATCCACTGACCACACCGCATGACACACTTCTAAAACCAAGGCAAGAGTTTAATTACTCCCCTCATAATCAAATATAATACTATTTTCTTGGATTAAACTGGTATATTTTAATTTTACTGTGTATACGACATAATGTTCACAGTAATGAAAAAATTTAATTAAAAACTAATATTTCTTTTCTGTTTCGATTACAGAATTGTATACTTATCTTTTAATATATATATATGTACATACATGTATGCTAATAATATAGAATATTTCGTATATGTATATGTATACCTTTACAAATGTATTCTACGTATTTGTCAAAATATTGTGTTTAATAATTCTTAAAAGTTTTAATTAATGTGTAAATAATGTTGTAGCACTTACTCACTTAGGTGTTACACAATTTAGTACTCTCGTAAAGGATTGATTTTTAACTGTCTGAATGGTAATACTATACCGAAGCTATTGATTTTACAAGTATCTATTAATATTATTATATTCGGTGTACCACATTTAAAAAAGTGAAACATTTACTGACACGTTTACGGAGTGTTACTATTTCTTTAACTAGTTGAATGTATAAATTGATGTATTATATATAATTATATATCATTACACAAATTCACTTAAAATATACAAATTAACCATTTATTTACTTAAAAATTGTATTTTCCTTTCTTTAGTCGGAGTATGTGGTTTCATATTTAGCCCCTCATTCACGCATCTACCTAGAAAGAGACAAATATATGATTTAATTTGGGAAAACTAAATTGAGCATTATAACGTAAAGCACCCCAGTCTGCATCTTGCTGGTAAGTTATACATATGTATGTACTATATATTGTGTTGTATGAATTGTCAAAGTATGATGAGTTTTTTTACCACAGCCATTTTAAATGGAGAAATAGTGACACTAGTGCATTAACAGAGCTGGGTATTGAAAGAAAATTTACTCAGAAGTTTATACTTGTATTGATTTTATAGCCATGTTAGTCTTTGAATTAAATGCTTGTACATTTAAATATGGATATGCAACATAAGTATGTAGATAAATTTATAAGAAATTCGTTTGAGAATTACAGCTGATAACATTTCAGTCAAATTTTTCTATTTCGCATATTTATATTGTAGTAGGTATACGTGAACATACGGACCTATGTACACAATTTTTGCGAAAACGCCTTAGTTTATATCTCCCTTTATATTATCAACTGAGCAATCCACTATCTTTCATAAATATTGTTGTGTCTAAAAAAGTCGTTCACACAGTTCCTGGTATCAATAGTAATAGTATTATTCTTTAAAGGTAGGTCCGTCCGTCCGTCTGCCCGAGCAGACAATAACTTATAATATATATAATAAAAATTGAGAAACATATCTTGATAATACTCGATACACACGTTTCTTAGTTGGTATTACAGATGGACGGTATCGAACTATTTTCACGCCTACCAAATGCCGAACCTATAAAGCTCTATAGGCGCCGATGAAGATGGAAAACTGTATACAAGACATCAGATTAAATGTGGGCGTGGCCCCGCCCCTAATCGGTTTAAAGTATATACTTCACAAGCACTAAAGATAAATCATCAAAATTTGGTGGGGACAAGTTTTACTAGCTCCCTCTGACACACTCTGAAAATGGGTAAGAACGAATAATAACCGCGTTCACTTGCCATATAACGGTGATATTGAAAACTACTAAAAGAGCGATACCTTACTGAATAAATGCGTCAGAGGCATTAAATTTTACACCCGAGATGTCGAAAGGGCTTCACAGGAACCCTTGGGCAATAGGCGGGGCACCACCCACCTTTAACTGATATCTTATTTCTCAGTAACTACTGGATAAATTTTAACAAAATTTGGTAAATAACCAACGATCTTAAACTACAGTGCAAATATGAGCAAAATCGGACTACAACCACTCCTACCAGAAATAGGTTAGGTTAGTTTGGTAGACTCGTGAACCACGCACAGACCAGTATTAGTCCTTGGCGATGCCAGATGAAGTGCCGTAAATTTCGACACTTCTTCCAGTGTTTCATACCGTGGGGTTCTCAAGCGTTGCCTTGCCAGTGAAGGACGAGTGAACAAGATCTTCCAGTGTGTCATACCGGGGGGTTCCCAAGTGTTTGAAGTGTTGCCTTTCCAGTGCAGGATAATTCACAAGAGATGATCCAGTGTTTCCCTAGTGCCTTGCTCTTGACATTTTCTGCAGTCATCTTGATCTGCCAGATCCATTCTGCATGCGTGTGCTATCACCAGACTGTGACCAGTGAGTAATCCAATCGTGTTCTGCCGATTGTTTTGCGAAGTTTTCAGCGAAGAGGTCTATAGGTGGCAGGTTTAGCACTAGGTCAAGAGCCACTTTTGTAATTGTTCTTAGAGTTCCATTTATGCACAGCGCGCCTCTGAACCCTTTTCATTGGCTTCCGGTAGGTGGATTTCCGTAGAGAAGAATTGGTCTTAAAATAGCTGTGTAGTATCAGTGCATGAGAGAAAGCTCCCAGGTGGGGCCAGATATCTGCCTTCACGCATATAAGGCACTACTTTTCTGACTCTTTCTTCCACATTGTGCTCCCACAGGACTTTGCTATCCAAGACTACTCCAAGGTACTTGGTGCAGTCCTTGAGAGAGAGTTGTGTGCCATTTATCGAAGGGAGCCTCCATGGAGGGTATTTGTATTTTTTTGGGAACACAAACAGATCCGTTTTCTCCGCATACAATCCCAACCTCGTTTACGATGCCTTTTTTTGAGATTTTTTCTCGGCTGTATTGAGAATGGTGATCACAATACTGCTAATGGTGTGTAGACACCTTCCCATTATAAAGATGGCAACGTCGTCTGCATATGCCACTATTTTAGGGGCTTTGCGTCTGAGTTCTTATATGGCTTTTGTGTATGCGTGGTGCGTTTTGGAAAAGCTTCCAAGAGGCGCTGCTGCCCAGATGTGCACGTTCTCTACCGTTTTCATCATGAAGGAAGTTAAGCTTATGGGCCTAACAGTTTAGGGTTCGAGTAGGTAGAGTTTTTTCTACCTGCCTTCAGTATGAAAACCACCCTAGCCTTTCTCCTAAATATCGACTTTAGTCATGTCACTAATAAACAAAGCGCGTTCTTCAGCGTGGCCTGAATGATACCGCCCGTACCGGGAGAACCTTCATAGCTAAGACTTGCTGCGTCCTGGCAGCCAGGAAACCCGTGTAACACTGCCTAGGTCTTCTAATGAGTCCTCAGAGTTGTCCGTCTACTCCCCGTAACTCTTGCAAATTAGACCGGGCGAATTTCGGATTATAGTTTCCTGAGCCATTAATCATTTGTGGAGGTTTACCTGTAATACCTTTAGCTCCCAATTTTCGACCCACAGAGTACTGAATGTGTTCTTTCTCCTCCTTCTGTAGCACAAGTGAAGTCGCCATGATCTCTTCTATGAGAAATCCCTTCACGCTTTTCTAACATGTTCTTGTTACGGTCTATATATAATACATAAAAAATGAATTTCAAACTTCGGTGACATCATCGTTTTAGCAAAATTGAATGAACGTATATTATTGGATATAGTACAGCCGAGTTCCGAAAATGTCTAAAATTAGTCCACGAATTACCCGAACTCCATTTACTATATACATGACAATTTTGAAAAGTTAATGCAATGAGTCCAGATCTTACACTAGCCCTTATATATGTAGGCAATATATGTGTGTATATATATATTGAAGAAATGAAGTGATTTTCTTAACCGTATTGTGGTTTATTGCTGGACATGCGTAGTAGACCTTGTTTTGGTATAAATATCTCGGACAGGAAGCCAAATGTATTAATGAAACTAATATATTATAATATGTACATATAGGTATATGTATGTTGAATTCTTACGCAACACTTGTAATCGGACCATTGTCACGTCAAAAAAATTCCATTAAGCGAAAACCTAAATAGTGCTATAACTAAACTCCAAATTAAGATATAAAATTTGGTACAGAGGATTGCAGAAACATGTGAGCAGAAAATTTTTAAAATGTGGGCGTACATCAGCCCCTTAATAGGTTCAATCTCTATTTCTCACGAACCTTTAAAGCTATATCAATCAAAGTTGTGGAGAATGATACCTTTCAGCACTTTCTCAAACGCTGTGAAAACTGATGAAATCGGATAATAACCACGCTCCCTCCCCATATAGAAATTATGTTGAAAACTACTAAATATGCGTTAACTCACTGAGTAAGTACGCCAAAAGTATTGTAACGGAATTCTCGATAAATCGTCTATCTTGTAACACACCCTTGAGTTTTATCACTGGATTGTTACAAAAAAAAGTCCCAATTTAATGGCAACACACTTAACTTTATTTCCAATTCCAACAACTTAACACTTATTGCTCGCTATTCGAGTTTACAACTTATTGCTTATAGCTTAATTGCTCTTTACACGGCAACACTCTAATTAGAACTGTGTATGCTGCACAATCCGGCAGCCCTTATGTAGTAAATCTTTAACAAAAGTTCGCTACTAGAACATTTTGGCAACTACGAATTCGCTGTCTAGTTGCTTCTGGCAGTTTATTGTTGATTCTGATTTGTTCTGGTATTCGTGTTTTCTCTACAGTATTAAATAGAAGCATTAAATAGTTATGTAGTCAATTGTGGAACTTTCATACCAACATTTTGAAAGGATTATATCGTAAGATATATATTATTTTTAAATTATAACGATTATTAATTAACAATCAATTCAGAGCTGGACGGACGGGAAATCCAACTGTCTAAAAGGGTAGAAAGGGCCCTAACGATTGTGGTTTTGCTCAGTGTTCTAAATGTCAAAGCGAATGCGTGGGAAGCGGAGAAAGTAACTACATATGACTCTCTTCAGGTAGCTAAATGACTGGTCTAACTGAAATTCTAAATATGGTATTGTTCTATCAAATTCATGGTAATCCCTTGTAAGTAAAAAAAGACCACCATGTCAACATACAAATGAAATATGCAGCACGCTCTAAGTGTCGCGTAGGGAACTGCTCAAACATTTTCGAAAATTTTGTGAACAGGAATGACAGTAGAACTTGACTCGAGCTGGTAGACTCTTTTCGCTCGTGTGAACGCACAGAGCGACACCAAGAGAGAATTTGGCGATGATGAGCGATAAAAGAGCCCCCACGTGAACGCCGACTAATTTGTGACGTAAATTAATGGATTAACGATTCGTTGTCTGGTTTTCAACCCTAACAGATGTGAGTGCGCATCGTTGTGATTTTCTACCACAATTTTTCGGCCTTTTCTTTTTGAGTAATTTTTTACGCTTTAGCATTAGTACCGCTATTGCCTGCCGCTTGTAGGCAGCGATAGTACACTTTTTTGGCGCAATCGGCGAGTGCATATTGTAACACTGCTGTTGCTTGTGTTAGTGACTGCGTGTGTTTTTATCCGAGTGCACATTTTTTGGCGTGTTTGCCGCGCGACTTGGGTTTATATATAGGGTGCTCCATTTCGAGGCTCCCTACTCTTTTAAAAAGAAAAAGTCACACGATCTTGGTGGCCAATCGACCGCCTCAAAGCGTGAAATTATCTGCTCTCCGAAGTGTTTTCTCAATAAATTCATTGATTAATGCGACGCATGGTAAGATAATTAAAATTACACTCATAACAATATGAAGTACAAATAAAAAAATTTATTCCGCAAGTAAATATTTATCTAATCCAAAAAAAAATCTTATATACGTAAAAGAGAGGTTGCCAAATTTATTTCTTAGAGTGACGAATTAATACTATACTGCACTTGATTTTCATATACATCGATTCAAGACAACTCCGAATCTTTATTAGAAATAAGAAAGCAAAATCTTAACAGTTTTTGGAATCGTCTGCGAGCGGCTCATGACGCCATAGTAGAAACTGAGTCATCAGATCTCCCACAAGCGTTTAAAACCTTGGGTTCCGCCAAGTATGAAAACTGCTCAGACCAGTATGAAGCTACAAAACTTATGATCTCCGATCAATTAAAGCTAATGAAGGCTATTGCACCTACTCCACATCCGAGAGTAGAGCTGCCACAAATTCAAAATCAAGAGGCAAGTTAAGGTATCCATCTCGAGGTGCCCGCATGTGACACAGAAATATTCAATGGAGGTTATGAAGAATGGCCGTCCTTCCGGGACATGTTTTCAGTCGTTTACATCAACCATCCCAAATTATCAAAAACGCAAAAATTGTATCACCACCGATACAAAGCAAAAGGTCAAGCAGGCGCAATAGTAAAACAGTTCGCACATAATGACGACAATTTCAATTTGGCTTGGGAAGCTCTAAAAGCAAGATATGAAAATAAAAGAATATTGGTCGATAAACAAGTAACGACACTAATAAACTTGCCTAAGTTTAAAAACGAAACAAGTGAAGAATTTGATAAACTACAATACTATCCACTGTTTCAAATTGTTTGTCGGTTCTATCGACACAAAATATTTCCACAGAGAGCTGGGACCTAATATATGCACCGCCGCTTTACCAGAGAAATCGTTACTTTTGTGGGAGTAGTCGCTCTCATCTCGAAAAAAATGCCCAACGTGGCAATAAATGAAAGATTTCCTAACTACCCAATACGAAATCGAAGAAAGGGTAGACAAAAAAATAGTCTGAAGGAATAGCCTTCAATAGCAACAGTAATTTAAATAGACGCTATTTAATCAATCGTTCACATCCGAACAATATAAACAAACGTCATGCGAACTATGCACAAGAGGGCATAAATTACAATCTTTAAAATTAACGAAAGAAACAATTTTATAAGATCAAAAAGGTTATGTACAAATTACTCGTCACATACGCATACTCATGAAAATTGCAAAAGTCGAAAAAGACATCACACAATGCTTCACTACAGCACATTTCCCAGCTCACCCCAAAAGAGCGCATATATTAGTACAAAAAGAACCACGGGTTTAGTTTCAACTGCAAATCAGCAAGCATTGGTAAAAGGTTTCACACAAATAGATATTCTAATAGGCAGCGACCTTATACCGTAAATAAAACTTGAAGGTGTTGAGAAAATTTCAACCACGCTTCTAGCCCAAAACACAATATTTGGTTGGATTCTGAGTGGACTAATTACAGAACCAGTTTCCACATCAACAACTCTAGTGGACGAAAACTCCAAAGAATACGTTAATTCACAATTGAAGAAATTTAGGGAGTTAGAAAAACGGCCCTTCATATCTATTATAACCTTCTTCAAAGCTACAACTACTCGATCCAATAATGGCCGGTAAGTCGTACGACTACCACTAAATTCGCAATGTTCCAACACTCCACAAATTGGCACAAAAACCAAATCAAAACTTCTTCTGACAGCCCCAGTATTAAAAGCACTAATATATACATATAATTCAACCAAATCATCCAAATATATTACTAAATAGACCAAAAGAAAATTTGTTGGGCACTAATATCCTTCAATTAGAAAAGGAAAGTACAACAAAAAATCTGGGGATCCAATATAATGCTATATCTGACCAGTTTTCATACACTACAGAGTCAATATCAGCATTATCCGCCATAAGATAACGCCAAATTTTATCCTCTGTGCCAAAACTTTTCGACCCCGCAGGATGGCTTTCGCCCATTATGATACAAGCGAAAATCCTGACACAGGAATTATGGCTAGACGAAACCAACTGGGACGAACAAGCGAAACATTTTCGCTTAGAAAACTGATCCCAGTTTGCACACAATTTAACCGCAATTTCGTTGATACAAATACCACGTTTGGCGAACTATTCCCAAATTAATACTGCGCACCAATTCGAATTGAGCTATGTGCCAAATAAGTATCAACAGTGCACACGCATTTCAATATGGCAAAATATAAATTATCTCGATACTCTGATTACGAAATTATTCTAGCCTGCTTGGAAAAAAACAGCCTATGCTTAAAAAACGTGTATTCAATTGCACGTACACTCGTCCATGCGCGACACAATAAAAAATATTGGAAGATACTCACATATTTGAGCGATTCATCATTCCCCAGAACACTCACAATATTTACCCACATTCTCACATACAATTCAACAATTAAGTTTAAGGATTACGATACCCCCAATGCGATACAGTGCCTCATCTTACACAAAAAATAGATCGCTCTTATCTGAGCGCTCATCATTTGGATGGTTTATGGGAAATACTAAAATACGTAAAAGCTGTAAATTCACTTTAAAAAAAAGTAGCCATAAATCACAAATCTTACTCTTGCAAGATCCGTTTTCAAAGTTTTCAAAAGAGCACCCATTCTGGCCATATCTGAGCCAGGCGTGGAGTCGCTATCCTATAAGCCGATAATAAAGAAATAAAAAAATTACCGCCAATAAAATGAATATACAAAAATATATAATCTAATAATACGTCGTCACAACCATCAATCGAATTAATGCAAAACAATGTTGCTTGTCTAACGCACTAACTTCCAAATCAAAACATATAATAACCATTTAATATGGAATTACCACTACGGCATTATCATGCAGGCGGCGCGGGTTACGTCACCGCAACGTTCCAAAACCAAAATAAGCAATGATGACAAACTACAAGTTTGTTGGAACCAATGACCCAATTGCACCAATAATTCCAATTTCGTCAGAATGACTACAAATGTATTTTTAGCAACGTAAACACAAAGTGTCAGCAACCCGTATTTCTTAATTGT